TTGGTACCTGGTTGCATGAATAGATTGAGCCATTGGAGAAGTAAAATGAAGATTTTGTTGAATGTCTGGGGGTTGAAATGGGTTCTGGTGACGAGTTTGTGGAGGAAGCCTCGAAGTCTTCTTCTTCTTCTTTTTTATGGCTCCAGCTACATTGGCTATACGGCCTTTATCCCTCGAAGCCTCGAAGTAATGTCTGGGAGAGAACTGGGATTGGGAGGCACCAGAGACTGAGGATGTATGGGCCCGTGGGGCGTACCGTGATGAATGTTTTGGCTTGTCTCTCCTCTCACTTGAGACTATGGTGTAGCAATCCAGGAGATAGAAGAGACTCTTGAGTTCAGGGGATTTCTCCAGCTTCTCTCCTTTCTCACCTGGAGGCAAGGGCAGACTGGCTAGTGAATGCAATGCCAGGGGGGCACTGAGCTTGTCATTGGGCATGCTTGACTGTTGGGGCTGTCCTCTCCTTGACTGTCTCCGTGTAGATACCTTTCAGGGGATCCTCGTCTCTTGTGAACATCTGCAGCACCTGCATCAGACTCTGGCTTATTAGCTCAGTAGAGTAGAGGTTTCTAGTCGTCTGACGATACGACTGATGACAGTTGAGAGAGAGATATCTTGGGGCCTGTCGAGTCTCTCCATGAGAGTCACTTCAGTAGCAGGTGATGAGATCAATAGCTCGAACAGCATATGTGACAAATATAATATGTTTCACTTCACTCCAAAGCGAGCTCTCCATTTTATCCAGGTGTATTATGCTGGTTGTTTTCTCGAGGAAGCTATTGCGTTTGATGAGATCCTCGAAGAGACCAATATACATCAGATAATGCGGCTGCACATCAGCATCGGAAATGCCCAAAGATGATGAGTATACTGTTCCCCAAAATACATGCGCCATCATCAAAAACCTTTTTCAGATTGTAAAAATGAATATTATCAATAAAAAAACAAACTTACCATTTGATTTGAATCCAATTTAATGATGAATTTTCACTTTTTGGAGCACAAAACACCTAACCAATTCGGGTCACCTAAGACCATCCAAATGTCTCGGCGATTATTATCAGATAATCAGTATAACTTCAATCCAACTCTTATTATTCTCAGACGAGTCTTAATTATTTTTAATTAACAATTTTCCATCCCAAATTTCATTAACCTCATTTGCTCTCCAATCTAAAAACTGACAGACAGCGCCATCTCCTATTCATCATTATAAAACTCAGAAACAATCCGAAAACGCTTCGTCCCCCCCACCGTCCCACCCACCGTCGCCACCGCCGTCGCACGATTATCTGAATCACCCCCCTGGTCCCTCGGCCGCGATAATAAAATTTGGGGGTCAAAAATATTGGCCCCCTCCATCACTAATATATTTAGGGACCCACCATCGCACCGATCGGAATAACGCGGCTCTGACGTGTGTGAGCGAAGGGGGTAAAACGTGTACTGCGGACGCGTATCCCAATCTCGAGTGGTTTTGGGGGACCGTTGGCCCTCAGGCCTCAATATTTAGCAAAAATTCGGGGGACAAAATTTTTNGGCTCTGACGTGTGTGAGCGGAGGGGGTAAAACGTGTACTGCGGACGCGTATCCCAATCTCGAGTGGTTTTGGGGGACCGTTGGCCCTCAGGCCTCAATATTTAGCAAAAATTCGGGGGACAAAATTTTTCGATCTGAAAGAGCATTCCGGTGNCAATCTCGAGTGGTTTTGGGGGGCCGTTGACCCTCAGGCCACAATATATAGCAAAAATTCGGGGGACAAAATTTTTCGAACTGAAAGAGCATACCGGTGCTCCGATAAAATCCGCGAAAACCGTAAACATATTAAAAGAATACTTTACCTGTCACTGCACTCTCCTCACAGGGCTCCGAAAAATCCGAAAATCGTCATTGGTCACCTTATGCATTAAATCTAACTGTCACTAAACCACTAGTACTGTGGGTCTATAGGGACTGAAGAGAAACGTCAACACTACCACTCCCTGTCCTCCTCGGACTCCCCGAACAGCGACACCTGGGCCAACTCCTCGTCCTCGGCCGNATACCGGTGCTCCGATAAAATCCGCGAAAACCGTAAACATATTGAAAGAATACTTTACCTGTCACTGCACTGTCCTCACAGGGCTCCGAAAAATCCGAAAATCGTCATTGATAACCTAATGCATTAAATCCAACTGTCACTAAACCACTAGCACTGTGGGTCCATAGGCACTGGAGAGAAACGTCAACACTACCACTCCCTGTTCAATAGTTCTTCTATGTCCCTGTCCTCATCGGACTCCCCGAACAGCGACACCTGGGCTAACTCCTCGTCCTCGGCGTCCCAATCGTCGCGCTCGCGACGCTCCTCTTCCAACCAGCTAACCAGGCGATCCTGGGTATAATCGGCTGGCTCGATATGCATCGGGAATGGTCCATCCCTCTGCCACC